CAAAATAAAACAAAATGAAAGCGAGTAATTGGTTCTCAAATCTTCTTTTTCGACTACTGGTCCTTTTATCTGACCTTTGGTTTTGCCAACGTCCTTAAGTAACAATTACTAATTATAATCAAATATACTTTTATTTTAAAAAATTATTTTTTATCAACTACGTTAAAAAAATTTTGTAGTAGAATTTTGTTTCCCTGTAATATAGCACACGGTTTGTTTTTATTTTCTATCATTGTTTTCATTATTTAAACCGTTTTCTTTTTGCATCTGTACCTAAACCTTTAAAAAAAAATCTTATTATGTATGTTTCTCGGTAGTGGAACAGATTCGAGAATATAAATAAATGTATATAATTCTTTTTTTTTTTTTAGAAACAAATGATTATAATTCATAAGACCATTTTTATCAAGAAAATCCGTATTTATTTTTGGTTTGTGTGCTCGCTTATGTAAATACGTTTGCATGTTTCAGGGAAAAAATGGGCAAGTTCAGCGAAGAAGTAAGAAAATTATCTCTCGAGATAATGGGAGCAATAACGGAGAGCTTAGGGCTAGGGAGAGACTACCTGTCGACTCAGATGGACGAAAACGGCATGCAAGTCATGGCCGTCAACTGTTATCCACCGTGTCCGGAGCCTGCGACGGCGCTAGGCCTGCCGCCGCATTCAGACTATAGTTGTATCACTATCCTTTTACAGAACTTGGCCGGTCTCGAGATCTTCGACTCGACGGCTCACGGTGGCTCTGGCCGTTGGGTTCTTGTCCCAGAAGTCAAAGGTGTACTCAAGGTACGTTCGAACTGTTCCGGTTTAGATCTAAACCGGAGGAAATCACATTACATACCAACCAGCTCATGTTTCAATTATTTCGGTTTAGTGTAACCGGGAGGACAATTCTTTTTCTTTTTTCTTTCGGAGTCTGCTCAATGATATAAATTATGTGAGTTTGAATCCGGTTGGTGACACAAGAAAGCATATAGTTACATGTTCCGGCAACTTAGATTACATTTTCTCCAAACACATGCATTTTCTTTGTCAAAAAAAAAAAACCCTTAGATTACATAATAACCAGACTTTATTTATTTAACTTTATTTTGTCAATAATCAGGCTCTAGTTATATCTTTGTTTTTCAATAGGTCCATATTGGAGACCATGTGGAGGTGCTAAGCAATGGATTATACAAGAGCGTTGTTCATAAAGTTACTCTGAATAAAGATACGACGAGAATCTCCCTGGCGAGCTTGCATAGCTTGGGAAAGGATGAGAAGATGAGTGTACCGAACCAATTGGTTAATGATGAAAATCCGGTTCGGTATAGAGAGAGCAGCTTTAACGATTTTCTTGATTTTCTTGTCAAGAATGACATTTCTCAAGGGGATAGGTTCATTGACACTCTTAGAATCAAGGACTGATCGAGTTCTAACACGTTGGTTATTGGTTAAGGGTGTAAGAATAAGATAGATCGGTTCGGTTTGGTACACGGTATGACTCAATCCATGTCTTTTTGCGTTTAACCTGTGCGATAACGTGGACATATAGATATGTACGTTTTTAAATTGTAACGCGATAAATATTACTGTTAAGCAAATCATTTTCCAGATTATCAAATTAAGTTCAATAAAAATAAAATAGCATTACGCGTGATTAGAATAATATATTGTATACGGGTTTCTAGTCTCCATTGGCCTGCTTATATATATGTTGCCAATATTGGTATGAAATTTGTGTTCCAGTAGTGTGTCTAACACATATACAGGTTTTATGTTGTTTCTAACTGATTAAGAGTAGCCAATAAGATTATTTATATAAAAATATGAGTTAACCTACAAATTAGTTTTAGCAAAAAAAAAACCCTACAAATTACTTACAAAAAGAAAAGTGAAAATTTCATATATTAAACAATAAGGAGATAAATAGAAATGTTAACTTTCTAATAACAATACGTAAATATGAATCTCGTAATCTACTACATCTCCTAATAATTAGAAATACATGAAAAATATATCTTTAATTATGTGGTAAGAAAAAAAGGTAAATTATTAATAATCTCTCCAAAGAGAAGAAAACAAGAAGTAAGATTCATTAAAGAATTTGACAGAGTCATAGCTTCGTTCCGAATTCACCCAAGCCGTAGGCTCTAAATTCGCCACCAAATAATAAAAACAATTTTAAAAGGAGTTTTAGTAACGAATTACTAAGAAGTTCTCGTTTCATTAAACAACATCACCCACACAAACGTATTGTCTTTTAGCCTCAACTGTTTGTATACAACAAGATCGGATCAAACATAAGATATGTACAGATCCGCGAGCTGGAACCGCGTGACTGAGGATTACTCGGTGCCTTGGTCTGCGCCAAAGGGATTGTGGAAAGGGTTAGACGAAGACGAGTCGGCTTTATACGATCCTACCAGCCAGGAGGTGACCAAGAAGGGGAAGTCACGAGCCAAGTTTGCTGAAAATGCCGTTCACATAATCCCTTTTGTTCTTCTTGCTTGTGCTCTCGTCCTTTGGTTTTCTTCTAATCCAGGTATGTAAACATTCTATTTCAGAATATTATATTCTCTAGTCGTTGGCCCAGCAGTGATTTACTTGTGATGTCTCATGCATGAATTTTATTTTTTTAAATCAAAGAATCTGTTCTCCCAAATACTGATCGGATCTTACGACGAACGTGTTCTTAGATTCAAAACATTCGTTATAAAGTATAGAAATTGGTCATGGCTAATTTTTTTTTCAAACGCATTATCTTTTTATCCCTACGGTCCTACGGAATTCACATGATTGATATATGTGATTAGTATGGCTTTTTGGTGTGTGTGTGTGGGGTGTGGTGAAATATCGGCATGGAATATTTTGGTTTAAAAAAAAGTTTAGGTTAGATGTTTTTTATGGCAAGGATACATTTTTTTCTAGAGATTTCGAAAATTAGTCTAGGTTAAAATATGTCAATTTTTATGGCAATGACAATAATTTTTTTTACTACAATTTTGTATAATAATATGTTTTAATGTTTTCGATGATTTATAACGTTATATGATTGCACATGTAAATTACTAATCGTCTTACATAAACAAGTTTGATCCTAATGTTATCATTGTGGGTTGCAAAATGTAGATTTGGATGTTGGGGTGAAAGGAGAATCGATTGCGGCTAGGATCGAAGGATTAACGATCGAAGGAGATATTGACAATGACAGCGACGGAACTCAGACCGGATTCTTAGGTGCCGCCGTGGAGGTCGGAGATTCAAACAAGCCGAAATTAAAAAACGGCGTTAATAAGCGTCACCGGAGGATACAAACTTCAAGGAAAATGGTGAAAGGGTTTTATTAGTTTTTGATAGTTCATATTAGTAAAATTCGGAACGAATCTTTATTACCTACTTTCTGTTTTTAATTCAACCGAGATGTGTTTCTTTAGGTTATAAATGGT